AAGGGGATTCTTGCTAATTCTTCCCTGTACCTCATTCAAATCTGGAAGCATCTTGCTTAGTAATTTTGTTTAATCTTTTTTTTTCCCTTTCAGTAACGTTTGTGTAAAGTTATCCTTATTTCTACCTTTCTCTGACCATCTCACCCTTCTATATCTTTCCTTGACTCCTCATCTCATGCTGTTTCAAATTCAAGATTGTCAGTAATTAAAATGTCTGCCACATTTACACTGAATTGAGGCAAATTGAAAATAAAATTTTAGAAAGAGAAAGTCAGAAGACTTTATTTTTTGCATTCATGTAATGGCCATGCAAGCGGAGAATAAATTGGTAAATTTCTGTTTATGAAGTCATAGCTAAAGAAATAGCTGAGATTGTTCCATCAGCAATGATTTTACTCATAAGGCAGTCTCCATTGCTGAAGAACAGAGGAAGCTGCACAGTTTTTAAAAAAAAAGAAATTTTAAATATATGGAGAAGTGCTAAAACGCACTCAGAGCCACATGGAGCAATTGCTTCCCTGCCGAAAAAAATATTGGCTACTTTACTACTCATTATTTCACAGATTGCCTTATAACCATGGTTAAGAGAATGGGACCTGTGAATAATGTATATGTTTTTAATGCTGTAATTGTTTCATGTTGATTTTCATTTTACTGTCTATGTAGCCTCTTTAGAAATGGAATATTTGCATGAGCAACTGTATCTGATCAGTAGATTTTTCTAAAGATCTGGGTGGGATAGTCCTGGCTAATGTAGCTTAGCCACTCTTCCTGTAGCATCCGGACTTCTGAGCTATACATAGTAGTGCTCTTGGTGTATGCATGTATCAGAATTGTTAAAATATTTTTTAGATCTATATATTTTCTGTTATTGATCGTAGCAACATAAAATTTAGCATAATAGTTTACACTATTTTGTAAACACAAGGGATTTCCATTCCATTCCTGTGATCTGTGGGTTTGGAGTTCTGCTCCATATAATTTGATACAATGTTGAAATTTGTTTATTTTGTTTCCCTCATAATAAGATATTAAACATTCAAATCTTTATTAAAGTAAGTATGTTTGATGTATTAGAATGTCAGTATGAGTGACATTTAGATTTAGTGCCCTGAATATTGTTATCCCTTTCAGTTTCCTCTTTTCTGCCAGCTGGTAGCAGTCCCTCTAGGGTGGGTCCTAACACAAACCTGGCCCGCAGGGTTTTGGACTTAGCGCGTTCACTTTTGACTGGCAACGTTTTTTTTGTTTTGATTATTCTTTCTCACTTAGACTTTTTTTTTTTTTCAACATTATTGGAAAACATTTTTTTAAATTCTAGGGAGTTTATTGTATATAATTGGAAAAAGAGAAGGTAACTTATGAAGGTAAAAAAATTATGAAGGTGAAAAAAGGAAGTGAATTATGTCTATTCTAATTGTTTCCCTCCTCCTGGAATCTACAGAAAAGCCCATTAGCACAAGTAACCCCATCAGCTTCCCTGGGCTTTGATCTCATGCCAGATTTAGAGAAGAGAAATCTGTAAACTGATGAACAGAGCCTATAGATAGATAAGGCTATGGGTAGCCGTTCCTGGAGGTGTGTAAATAAGGCAGGACATTATTTCAACCTATTTGACTGTATATGCATGAAATAGTACATGGATACTTTACCAGCACAGTAGCAATACAATATTGTGTGGATTTCATTCAAAGATTGTGTTCCTGATTACCCAGGAAAGCCAATTTCTACCAAAATTCAGATCATTATCAGCCAATATATTGTGATGTATATAGAAAAGCTCCTTTTTTCCTCTTTATATTCACATCTGCCTGTCTATTAGCCTTGACCTCAAAAATTAGATTTTCTTTCCATAGGCTATACTCGTATGAATTATTAACTAAAAATTTCCCTACTCACCCTCAAAAATTTTATCAGAACATAACAACTACGGTTTCTTAAGTCATTTTGTTCCTGCAATTTCATGGTAACAATGCCGTCTGAGGGTTTATGAGGAGGGTTACAAAATAACAAGAGAAGCACGCAACACAGGTAAAATTTGCTTTCAAAGCAATCGTTTTAGACATCTAGCATGTATATTCCAAAAAAGGCTCCAGTTCCTGAAGTTTTAAAGGGCTCTGTCTCTCTCTTATCTAAGGAAAGAGCCCCCACCTACAGCCAAGCTGAGCATTTAACATTGCTCAGTGGTTTTAGATTGTAAACAAAATGACTAACTTTCCTTCAATATGACTTAGGATGTGTGTTTTTATTCTTCAAATCATCACACTGTGTATATATATGTATGTGACATAAATTGCCACGTTGGATATGTAAAATGCCAATTTATTTGCACAAAATTTCCTCCTTAATGATTGCTAGATGTGCAAATTAGGACAACGCTTACTTATGCATAAACTGGAAAAGGTGTGCCTTTTCTACAAAATAATTAAACATCATCATGAAAATGACCAAAGAGTATGTCATTTCTACTGTAAAACAAATAAGGGATACTGTGTTAACCTCCCCTGCTACAAGTGTCCGTTCTCCAATAATGTTATAACAAATAAAATCTTTAATATGTTAACCCTGCCATTAAAAAATCATTTTATGAGTGAAGACAGGGTCTGCGAAGCCAAGTCATTTTCCTTTGTAATGACACACACATAACTGCTTTTAGAGCATACTAAAATTAGAAGAGCGCAAGCCTCTTCCCCTTTTCCATTCATGTTTCCATTATCATCAAAATATGAGCATATCAGAACTTAGGGGAATATGCTATATAAAGTATCAATTATTTTTATTGCCAAACATAGATTTGTTTTATTTTCCCATGTTTGCTGTTCTCAAAGACAAAACAAGTTAGGATTCCGAGCGTACTCCCAAATTTAAATTTGCTAAGAGATACTAATGTGAGGATCTAAAAAACGTCCAGTGAAGTACCTGATTATGTGGAGTGTTATATAAAATTTAGAGGATGTGGGTTGCAGCCCACTACTTCTCAGTGGAGGAGTATTTCCTGTATTTCTTAGTTTGAGATCTACCAGAAATATGTATTTGACGGTATTTTAGGTCCCCTCCCTGATCCTAAAATGGAAAAATGAATTGTGGGGGTGGGAGAAAAAATTAAAAATTTGGATCAACTAGCAGAATTTAAAGAATGCAAGTAAGTTTTTGTTTAAGCCCACTTCAAGTGTGGGTCTACTGTGCTGATCAATTATTTTATTTAGAGATTCATTCTTTCCTAATTAGAACTGTTGTTCTGGTGCCAGAAATCACACTGCTTCTTCCGAAACTGAGTGTGTGTGTGTTCGTCTCCTGTCAAGGACAATTTTTAGCATTCAGATAGTGTGGTGCCCCAGAAATAACTACGATAGACAGACAGAGAATGAGTGAGGTTAGCACACTAGTCAGTTACGATACTGAGTCATGTGTGTATATTTATTTCACTGTTGATTGCCAAAGGCAATGGAAGAGTTTGAGACTGGGTCGTGTCGCACAAAGGACATCTGCAATATTGCTCTAAGAACCAGGCTGGCTTGTCAAAGCCAAAATATGAGATATAAAAAGAACAAAGCTCCAACTTTAGAAACACAGATACAATGGTAGTGCTGGGCTTTCTAATGATAAGGAACTAATTTGACTCTTGTTTCATATTGGATTACATTAAACTCAAACTGCGTATAAACTGTCCAGTGATGATTCTTCTAAAATAGATTAAATGATCTGTCTTTCAGTTGCGAGCCTCTCAACCAGGGATAGCCTTTTTGTGTGTTTTGGAAACCATCTATTGAAGAGTTTGCATTCAAAGTGGAAATTATAAAATTAGTGAGAAGATCGCAGAAATTCTGCTACGGAGGTACTTGCAAGGATTACATAAATAAATAAATATTATAATGCTTTTCCAACAGCATGCAGCTATGCCAGTACTCAGGATGGGTTTAGCAGAGGTTGCTGGAAGGCTGGCAAAATCCTGATTTGATAATGGCTTGCAATGATTTCATGAAAGTTCTTTGTAGCTCTTAGTAAGATTTAAATTATCTATCCACTTTATTCTACAGCATCTGTAAAGGAGGCTGGAGACATAAATATTGATTATTGTCAGCCAATGCAAATTCTTATTTGCATCACTCTATTTGAGTAAGAAGAAAAAATTGTATAATTTTTTTTTCACAAGAAGAGGCAGCTGAGACACCCTCTATTAGTGCAGCATTCATTATCCATTTCCTTTGCAGCAGTTATTTTTCCTTGCTCTGCTCAAAAACATTTCCAATCTGTTGTTATTACTTATCCTAATACCAGAAGAAGTATTGTCAGAGCAATTAGGAGTCCCAAGCCATTTTGAAGGCTCATTGCGTTTGATTTTGTAATGTCTTCCCTAAGAGTTTGCCATCCAGCTACCGTTTACTATCCACTAAAACTTAGTGGAAGAAATGGAAGTGCTCACAGAGAAAAGAAACCTTAGGGCAAAGAAAGAATCATGGGATTCTCTATGCAGCTGTTTGATAAGATGAACTTTTTTTTTGTACAAAATCACATGCCAACTTGCCTGGTGCACTTCTTGGAGGTAATCTCAGAGAGAGCATTTCTGCCTTACAGATTAGTTCTGAGATGAGTTCCTGCATAAGAGGTGGTAGACAATGTGCCACAGCCTTTTTGTTTCAAAGGGCTGCTGCAGTGCAACCTACACTCTAGTACTGTTGCTTTTCGACGTGCTTTTGCTCACTTGTCCAATTCTAGTAGCAGCATCCTATTGTAATCTTTATTTCAATCAATGCTTCAGAAATGGGCAAGGCTTTCAGCGCAGAAATCTGCACCCATACTGAATCCGCAACACTTTTGTTCAATTCATCTCTTCATGCCTCCTGTCTCCCTGCAATCGGAACTCTTTTGCTCCTGCAAGATTAATCCACCGGCACATAACTCATTTCAAAAGAAAAACCCACTTAATTTTCAATTAAACTTGTCGCGTATTGCAAACAAAACACTTCTGTGTTCAGGCGTTAGCCCACAGTGTGCATCACCTCCACATCGCTCTCGCTCAGACTCTGCCCTCGCTGGCAGCCATCGGGCGCGCGGGAGCCAATGCCGCTGCCGCCGTCCCCACGGCAACCACACATCGCGGAGCCATGGAAACGCGCTGCAACACGCTGCATGAAACACGGGGAAAAAAACGTGTTTTTCCACTTGTAAAAATACTTTAAAATTGCTAAAACGCAGTGTAAAAAAAAAAAAGAAAAGGCAATATTGAAAAACGTTGCTGTTTCTGCCCAATAACACACAGGATGGGTGGCCGCAGAGATAGTGGGTTTGTCTTCACCGTTCTGTTTGTCAGCGAAATGGCTCCGTGATTATCTTTTCCTTTACTTGTACGACAGGATAAAAATAGGGCACATATCTAATGCATATGTGTAGAAATTACGAGTACAAAAATGTGTGTGTACGTCACAGCGAGAATAGATGGTGTATCCATAAATACTTGATTACAATATTCTAAGTCTCATGGTTTCAATATAGTCTAAGCAACTGAAAAAATTGGATGCATGAGATAGAGTGCTTTATTTCTTTATATACAGTGTGTTTCTCTTTTCTGTCCATTTCTGCATGTGTTTAAATGCGTGTATACGTGTGGTTATTTCAATAGTCTTAAAGGGATTATTGGTTTAAAAAAAAAACAGTAATCCTGAAATATGATTTGCATTTTGCAACGCGGCACGTATTTATATTCCATTTCGCTCTTATAATTTCCACAAGGCTGTTTCTTGTCATCGTGTTCGTGCATAGGTGCTGCTCTTCCACAACAGAAGAAAAAGAGACAGCAAAGAATCTGTCATACAGAGCAGAAGGGAAGGCTTTCCCAGACAGGGTATTAGTAAGGATCTTGAATGAACTAAGGAGTATCACATTTGTCTCTCCTCCAGAGGGACGGAGGGCATGAGAGATAAATAGGGCCTGTCGAGCCTAACAGAGAGAGATGTCCTTTCACCTTTTGTCAGTTGTGTCGTGCTTTATATTTCTGAGAAGCTGGACCCACAGCCAGTTTGACAAAGGTGCATCATCAAGTGTGTGTTAGAGGGATTATGTAGGAAGTTGGAAATGTAAGAACTAAAATTGCAAACTATTTAAATCCTAACCCCTAATTGACTTTCACTACACCTGAGTGGATTCAGGTCACAGAGGGCATAATTTGAAAGCAGTTTATCAATGAGAGTAAGAGGCTGACCCAGCGTGCAAATCTCCAGGCTGACTGCGAGAGCTGGCGGGTGGTGCAGGTAGGAGCACCAGGCATCGCTGCGATGGTGCAGCTTGCGGTGTGACAGCAATTCCACTGACCCTCTTTCAGCCTACTAAAACTGCTGAGCTCTGTTGCTGTATGGAAGGTTACCTTTCAAAAGTGACTTATTTTAAAATTTTGGAAAAAAAAAAATGCAGCCATTTCTGAGACTCATGGCCATAAATAAAATATATCAACTCACATTTGAAGATCTGTTCTAATTGATTTTGTTCTCTCATAACTCCAAAGTGTCCTTGGTTTAATACTTCAAATACAGCTGCATGTAGCTAGGAATGGGCTGTTACAACTTATACATATTTCATAAAGAAATACAAAGTTCTGAACTTTTGAAAACTTCCTACCCTGCTGAGCACAGTTTTTTTCTACATAACCACTGTGGCAACTTATTTTTCCTTTCTTTTTTTTTAAATTTATTCATTTGTATTTTCTTCTTCTTGCTAGTTAGCATTTGTGTGTTCAGATGGAATTTTTAAAATATTTTCCTGTTGCTTTCAAAATACATGACACAGTTTCCTATCATTTTAACTATATCACTATATAAATGGATTTATTCAGACCAAACATAGGCTGCAAATAATCAGGAAGTGTTGAAGAGTGTTTGGACCCGAAAATATTACTCAACAATGCACAGCTATAAGCCACATTTCCTTGAGGTTTTTTTGGTTTGTTTGTTTTTTTTTTTATGGATCAAAATTAGAGTGGATTTGGGTGAATTAGAACAATTTAGGGAAGGGCTATTGTTATTCATCTTCTTGTGGTATCTCTGCATGTCATTAAATGTTACTCTTGACCTTGGTTTGACATGAACCTCCTTTGTTTCTCAAAGTTCACAATGCTACATTTTTATACTATATGTTCAGAACAGTTTATTGGGATATGTGTATGATTTTAAGAAATAATTATTATACACATCTGCTATAGATAATATCTTTCCCATACTACTCAAAAATTATTTCCCCTCCATTATTGTCAGTAAAAAGACAGAAGATAAAACTTGTGTCTCAAACTGTGGATGTCCTGACAATATTTCAAAATGTCTTTGGAGTTTCTTGACTCCAAAGACATTTATATATGCATATATTCTGAAAACTAAAAAGGTTTGTGACTCTCATTTTTCTGGGCACATTTGGCTCCCTTATGTATGTTAGAGGAAGATTGTTATTAAATGCAATGTTTAATATTTGTCTAGTGGTTATCTGAACTGATCTCTTAGGACTTCATCCTGTGCCTTGACCTCTTAGGTCTGGTTCACACAAGTTCTCTCACTGATTCCAGCAGAACTAAGGTCAGAGGCCATAGTGCTCAATTATAGAAATATTTTGTAATTATCCAGATTGCAAATTCCAAATATTAAGTAGAAACCAAAGCTTTACCAAAATGAAGAAACACTCTTCCTCTATAGGAGTACCAGCAAAGCCACATCCCCCTTTGGCTGTAGCTAAGGTAGTAGCTGTCTATCTGTGTATGGATGGTTACACTCAGGTATGATGACTTTACTGTATCTGTACAGAGTCACCATATACAAGTAAAACAGTCCCTACCCCTAAAATTATAGGTTTCTTCTTTTTAGCTATTAACTTTTGAGCACATTTTTGTCTCGTGTCACTGGACTGCAATAACAGTACAATCCCTGTCACTTTCAGACTGGAACTACGTTTGATCACAGGCATTCAGGAATATTTACACCCGCTTGTAATCGTTTGGAGGATATTTAACCTTACTATACGACACCACTTACTAACAATAATTAGTGTTTAGGTTTTATCTTCACAGGAGGTATATCCCATACAGTCATTAACTGAGTACCTGCATTTGAACTAAATGATTCATAAGTATTGAAAGTGATTGTAACCAGTGATTTGAGGTTTTTTTTAAATTCAACTATTTCAGAACTCTAAAATACAGCATAGAGACCAGGCAACCTTAGAAACATTATCAGAAAAGTGCTAGTTTTAGATTGGTACTGAAAGTCCCTTTAGCACCTTTTTCACTTTTTTAAAGCAGTAGTGCAGTGTTTATGTTTGAAATGCTGGTTTCAAAACTCCATGTAAACTTTTGAAATCTGAGGAAATTCCAGAAATACATATATAATATGATAGATCATAAAGCAGATAATATATTATGCATGTGTGCATATATACACACAATTTTAATTTGATACAGGGTCCACTATGCATCATCCACATAAATGCTGTATAAATTACTACAATTGTGCTAGAGCTTGTGAAGTCCCTGATTCTGGCAGTGAAAAGTTGTGGGTTACTGCAGGGTTTTTCCTTCAGTACTTCGGCATTTTGAGCTGGATGCCTCACTGTGATGATGTGCAGCCAAGAGCTGGTGCTGGTGAAAGGAAGTAAATCAATGTGACTCCTTTCTCCCTAGCCTATGCAAAATAACTACCCAAGGTGAAGGTAGACTGTGCAAGAAGTGCTGCCTTCTGGTGTTGCCCCAGCTCACGTGGACGTACAAAGTCCATAACCTCAGAAGAGGCACTTCTTTGGAAGTTCAGGGAGCTAATTCTTTCCAGTAGCACTGCTTGGCACACACTAGCACTCACACAACAAGAAAGCAATCGCACAGCCCTCTTCAGATTATAACTGTGTCCTGCTCTGAAAATACTTTTTGGAGCTCTGTTTCCCCTTTCCCAACTGGACTCAGAATGTAACAACATTTTATTTCAGCTAGCGATAAGCTCGGGATGGGTTATGTTTCCTTCTGGGGCTAGTGAGAAAGCCTTACTGTGTCTGCTTAAAAGATTTGTTTAAAAAAGATGTTAATTAAAGTTTATCCTCTCTAGTGGGAGCTGTTCAACTCCATGCCAGACAAACCAGCAGTATGGACGTGTAACAGGTGTGCCAGAGATTTAAGTGCTCTAAAGTTTTTGGAGAAATTCCAGGGCACAAGCCCTTGTTATCTGTATAAGATGGCCCCAGGATTTCCTCAGACTTAAAAGCTATGCAGATAGACAGCCTTCAAGTTCAGATCAAGGAAAATTAGAACTTGCTGGGTACTCACGTGTTTGAGCATGCCAAGAGAACAAGGAAGACACCAGCAGTTCCTGGGCACACTGCCCACAGGTATGCTTCCAGATGTCAGGAAGAAAGTCAGAGCATGGTAACACCGTAACTGCTCCAGAGCCTACTATTTTCAGAGCAGCACAAACTTAGCTAAATGCAGCACTGGCCCCCAGGCTATTGCTTTCCTGAGAGAAGGATCTATGATGCTATACCTCAGTAATTTGTGAAAACTCTGCCTTTTGCAGTGGCAAAATAGTGCTCAAAGCAAAACCATTGCTTTTCACGTGGGTTTACACAAAAATGTCCTCAAGCACATAGTGTAGCAACGGATAACTTGGATTGCAAGAGCTCTGAGTTGCTTTTCATTTGTAATCTCTAATTCTTCTTACTACAAAGCTGGACTTCAGCTAATGATGACAATTTACGTGTAAGGTGTATTGATTTTGTTCAAAATTTTTCCTCTTTTCTGGCTGTAAATGTATAGGTGTCCAAATATTAGAGTGGCTGCTAAAATATTTGTGGCATCTGTACTTTAAATAAGTATTGCAAACATCTGAGACAGTAGACTGTCTACTTCTTTGGGATGATTTTTCACATATCTTTACAATTCACACGTAAGTGATGGTGGCTCTGTGGTACATAACTGTAACAAGTGCTTTTAAGTACATTATAAAATCTCACCATGGCAACATCTTTCTGCTCATTGTATTTATAGTGAGAAAAAGAAAACAAGCAAAAATAATATTAACCCTGAAACCCTTCTGAAATTTAGAGGTTGAAAGAGTATCCTAAGTCAAGGTTCTTTTTTCATAGCTGTCTGTAAAGATCCTTGAACATGTCACCAGAGAAATAGTAGAAGGTAGAAATAGAAAGTTTTCTTCTTTTGATTTCAGCTTTGTATGAAACTACCAAATACCTAGTTTTCATTTAGGTCACTGTGACCAAATACAACTTGATTTTAATAGAAGAAAGTTGGAAAAAAGATGGCATGTTTGCTTAGGTCCTCTGAGACCTAACCACACTGGGCATGATGCAGAAGCCAGCTATAGTCATAGAAAGAGATACCAGTTTGAAAATTACCTCTCCAACATCTTCCTGTCACTCTATACTCTGGCATCATGTAAACCTGGCTCAAAATGGATTGGCAGTCTTCTTCTAGGAGCCTTAGATGCCTTTAAGGAGTGGCAGTGTTTTCTCTATTTTCTTGCTACCTCATTTCTGCAGTCTTTTGGAGTTCTAGAAATGCCTGGTAAATTGGGAGGAATAATGGTAAAAGAGTGAGTTAGGGTGCCTGCGCTAGAGAACTGCACTTCAAGTGCTCCTCTTCTCTTTGTAACATCTAGTGGGCTACAGCTGAAGAGATGTTCCAGATAACAGAGCTGACCTCTGTTCTTGCATTTTCTCTGTCCCTCTCCCTGTAGTCTCCACAGCCCTGTGTCACAGGAACACTTTATTCAGCAGTGTGAAAGAGAAGGAGAGCAGGCTCAGCGAAAGGCTCAGATAAAGCTAAATGAAACTACAATGTCTTAGGCCATCATTTCTCAGGTAACAAATGAAAATGGACAGATTCTCAGGGAATTCATCACCTACAAATTCCTTGAAACTGTGGATAAATCTGTGGATGGCCTGAATATCTCAAGAGACCATACCAGTTCGACACTTAGTATATGGATATAGGGTCTAGAGTTTAACCACCTACTTTAGAAATTTATTTCTTATTTCACTCTAGTTCATTCCCATTCATCTAACTTTTTTAGAACACGTTCTTTGTTTATATTCAATATAAATAGGGAAGGAAACTAAGGGAAATATAAAGAGATTCTGAATTAAACCCAAAAAATCCAACTATTTTTAATCCTTCATGAATTTTTCATTACTACTTCCCACAAAACACCTCCTGCCTTCTCCAAATGTTCTAAAAAAGTGTTGCCATTCTTGGTAGATAAAAGCAGTATAAGATAATTGTATTAAGCAATATTCCTTCTTTGTTTTTCTCAACCAGCTGCTATATAGTGACTTTCCATCCAGTGTCTTCCACAGTGGGAAAAGGTTCTTTAACTGTCAGGAGAGTAAAAGCAGTTAGCTACGCTCACAAATCTGTGCAGGAACTTGAGCACAGAGACAAACTCAAAGGGCCCTTTAGCTCATTTACACAGAGAATTGCAGCATAGAAAGTTCACTCTCAATCACTTCTTTCTGTTACTGTTTTTAGGGGGGGTGGAAGAGTAGTACTGGTACCAAAGCAAGTAGGAGATGCTTGTTTTTTACACTGTGCCCATCAACTTTATAGCCATGGCAACCCAAGAAAATTGGAGTTTCAGAAGTTTGTGAACAAGAGGCCATAAGATTTGGCTGGAGTGATGGTATTCTAGGTATCTCAAGCTGAAAGAAATAGTCTAAAATCTATCAGAGATGGAATTTACTAAATGTTAAGGTTAGAACTGACTGAAAAACTTGTCAACGTTTGGCTTCCTATCTTTCAAAGATGTTTTCCCGTATAAAATCAGGTGGTCTTACAGAGCTTATCTTTCATTTTGGTTTTACAGAGGCAAAGATTTCACCAGTTCCCCAGAAGACTTTTCAGAACAGAATTAACAGTAAACTTTCCAGACCATCTGTTAATTCTGTATTGTTATGTTGAACCTAGCCCAACAGATTCCTGATCTGTGAACTATTTCAGTCTAGTAAGTTTTGATAATACACACTGTGGCATAAAGCTTGGGGTAAATTTTTTGCTGCTTGTACAGCCATTCTAAATCTCTGAGGCTGCCTTAGGTAGGAATGAGATGGCACAGGCACATGCTTGTAGGTTGAATCACATGCTGGAGATGACCGATCTGACAGCTGACATGATATGCAGGCATCCCACCACACAGGTCATCTGGATTGCAAGGACCACTTTATCGGATAAATATTGTCTGGCTGCTATGCTGCATTTAAACCTTGCTCCTGCTTCAGGATTAAATGCACAAAATGGAGCCAGTGGTGAACCAGTCATTTGAGCCCATCATTTAGGTCCTGGAAAAAGAAAGAGGCAGCCAATGCAGTGCGCATAAGTCAGGGACCACATTAGTTTATTTTGGAAATAATGAGTAATACTTATCAAATCAGTTGGTGTGGGGGTAACATGTAAAGACCTTAATCAGTGGTCAAACCTGACTGTGTTAGGCATTCAACAGAGATGACCTTACTCAAGGAACATTAAAGGTAAAACTACACCTGCCTTTAATACTCTCTTTGCTCTTAGTCCAGGGCTCTGATACATCAGAATTGAAGTCCTTGCTAAGCACAGGTTGCCCTTGGCTACTAAAACCAGAAACTCGAGCTGCCTGATACCATGGCATGGGGAACAGCAAGTAAGAAAATGTATTTGTTCTGGGTGTCTTCTAAGGCTATAGAGAAAGAGCATATTTTGCTGCTCTGGTACTCAGAGTGATCAGGAAAGCTTAATTGTTTGCTTAAGCAGCCTTTGGAGCTAACAGAGCTATAAATTGGCAGGGCTGGCCAATGCAGTTGAACAGCAAAAAGACTTTCAAAGAGAGGGTTTTGCTCCCAAGTGCTTATTGTCAGCTCTTTGAGTTAAACAGATTTTAACAACCCAAACAAAAACTCCACGGGGGAGCTTTTTACAAACAGAAAACAAAGGAGCCCTGCTCCAGCTACATCAAAGCTTCCAGTCGTTTATAACCTCTGGTGGCAGTTTGTTTCATCCAAGGCCCCTAACTCAATGCTAATGTCAGTTTTCCCGCCTACCAATGAACCATTTGTCTGGAGTTTCCTGATCTAGCTTTTAACTGACTTCAGAGAAGAAACAGGATTGCTGTAGGCAAAGCTACAGCCAGCCCCATTACCATACCGCAGTTGCCCCCACGAAAGGTGTCTGAGAACACTGTGCTGTCATGAAGTTTCAAAGCCTTAGGTGCCTCTGGATTTGTTCGTGTTGAAGCCATTTCCCTCACCATACCAGCCGACTGCTCTTGTGCAGGCTGGGAGAACTGAGAGGCAGATTTGAGCTGGTGAATCTGAAGATAAGATGATAAAATTTATTTTATTCTTTTTTAAATCCTATTTTTATCCACCAGTCCAATGTAAATAAGGGATAGTAATAAGAGATTTGAATTTATAAAAAGAGAGAACAGCATTACTTTGCATTTAGTGTGGGGGTTTTAATGTAGTTTTGTTCAGAATATGAAGAAATTTAACACTGCAGTTAAAAAGGGGATGTTCTTGTAGCTCTGGATAATTAATGACAGAATAGGATGTAGCCTCATCTGAATAAAAGGCAGAACCATCCCATGGCTTCTCCACTTTGACAGGACACAAAGGAGTACATGCTGCACTCATAAATCCATACCTAATGGGAGAAAAATGCACTGTTTGTTTAAAAAAAAAAAAAAAAACACAAACAAGAAAAGAAGATTTAGGCAGAGTGGAGAAACGAAATATATAGTTTTATATGAAACGTTGTGGGTACAGTTGAGATTTCAGTTGTATAAAACCAGCTGAAAGTTCTGAATCATCACAACCCACATTACACACCATCCAAAAGTTATATTTTTTTTTCTTTCAAAATGTGTGCTTATAGCCAAAAGACATTAATGAAATTGGAATAATGAATTTCTCAAATCTTTGTTATACTGTAGAAATTTGAGGGGTTGCACTGAAAAGAGGAAAATGACAAACCTCATCCCAACACAATAAACCAATCTCAAATTCACTGGACTCATTCCGATACCTATACTCTCACTTCAGTTTCACTGCTCGCTTTAATTACCAAAGTAGTCACATCAGTACGACATCTACTTGAAAACACATTGTGTTGCCTCCTCCTGCTCTGCAGATCCTCTCCTTGCTGCTGGAGTGCTCTGTTCAACCCAGCACGGCAGAGACTTACAGTGCTGGCTGGATCTAGCTTTGAGTAGACAGTAAATATGACGTGACAAAAAGCTGTAATGCAGACTGCTGTATCTGTCTCACTACTGCACTGTGATGGGAGAATATGCCTGTAACATTTCACTGTTATTAACAAAATCTTTAGAGTTGCTAGTTATTTTGGATATGTCAGGTTTTGGATTCCTAACTTGAAATCCTTCAGAGTGCCATGAATTTTGGAAATTTATAGGAAAAAAAAAAGGGGGGTTCAAAGTGCTTCAGGTTAAGGACACCTAATATTTTTAATCTTAAGGCTATCTCTTCTCTGTAATATGCGTGTAAAAGCATACAGTTCTCCTCCTGCATCAGAGTCTGTACTTCTGTACTCAAGAATAGACGGTGGGAGTTGGTTAAGAATGTGTACTAGGAAGAACTAGTGCTACACCACTGTTTTTGAGATAAGCACTTCCATTTGCTTCTGCCTGACAGTAAGATTCCTCTCTTTGCTGAAGTCTTTCTGCAGTTAACTAAATTTCTTTGAGGCCAGTAACTGTCTTCAGATTTTAAGAGGCTGATAGGAAGCAGTGAAGAGAAAGAAGAATTCATCCTGTAACATCACTAATCCAGGGAACAGGTGGATCAGCTGAGCAGGGGGAAAGAGAAGTAAGGAAAAAGCTTATAGGTAAATGATGCAGTGGGATTTGAAAACTAAGGAAACTGAAGAGGATCCATCTGGATTGAGTGAAGGATGGGAAAAAGAGATATGGAAAACCTATTTTAGGGAATCAACATTAGAGCAAATAACTAGGCCACTAAGCCCTGGCCTAAGGTTAGGTAAGGGAAGAGGATGTGGAAAATTACTGGACATTACATGAGAAAGTGCTGAACATGATTGATAAGAGTGTGAGAAAATGACTAAAGTTACAGTTAGTGCAGAGCAGGATTGCTGGGTTTCACAGGTGGTTAAGGGGGAGGTTTGTGAGAAACGGAACAGAAGGCCCAATTTACAGATAACTGGGGAGGTGTTCTGGAGACCTTTGGGGGAGTAACATCTTGCAAGGCACCAAGGTAACTGCATCACTGAGACCACAAAAGGCTGAGATTACCTACATAATGGTATCAGAACTGGTAAATTTGGGATGCATGTAGCAAAACTGGGAGCAATGGGAGAAAAGTAATTAGATGGGTGTTTTGGAGGAGACCAGGGCAGAGGAAATAGGTGGTAAAAAGGCAGGAAATGAAAAAGCAGCATAAAGATACACAAACCATAGGATCGGTGCAGTCTAGGGTATCTGTTGGGCAGCCCTACACTTGACTGCCATAGCTGGATCGAGACAACAGACCAAACCAACCCCTCTGACCATATCACACAAGCAAAACTTGCTTCTGCACCACTGGGAGCGAGGCAAGAAGTATGGTTTCCTGGGGTGCCATGGGACTACCCTACCTAGATCGAATGGCCATCCTGGTATCACCGTGTCAGTGCCCAGTTCAGGTGTGCCAGCATCCTCAGCTGCCCATCACTCCCTAACAACAACATGACTGACCAAACTAAAAAGTACTTCTGCATTTAACCTGCAAAATCATCACTGACTTAAAAAAAAATTCACTAATACCTGTTGACAGTGGCAAAATTTTTTCAAAGAGGACTTTTCTTTTGAATAGAATATATGCGTGAACATTTAGCATTCTTTCCCAAAGACAGAATTGTGCCCTTACTGCTCACAGGATATCTAGATTTATCAAGAATAAAAATAATTGTAACCATTCATTAAAAAATGCAAAAAGCCCTCACAAAGGAAAATTATTTCACACAACTGTTAAGAGACCTATGGGCCTTGAAAGAAACAGTCATATTTTTCATGGCTCACTAAATTCACTGTTCTCTAGTTCTCTTACTTGTATGGCCTTTTCAGACAATATTTCAGTACCTTTAACAAACTGGGCAGGTGTGAAGGCCTCATCCCTTTCTTTGGTCTTCTCGTCTCTGTGCCTCTTGTTTTCTTAAATCAAATGAATGATTGCGTAATCCTGAATAGTGGTACAGACTTAAAAATATCACCTAGGATCATCCTGCTTTTCATTGTGTCTGCGTAGGCTGAAGGATTCTGCCTTTGACATTGTATGTAAAAGATTTAATTCTGTCATCAATTGGAGCGTGCCATATATACAGATTTCTCTTGAAACCTCCATGGCTGGTTACATTTTTAACAATATCTCAAACTAAGTACCTGATACATCAACCAAATGCTTATTTTCTTTAATGAAAAATGATTTTTTTATACTGTCATGTTAAAACTTGAAGATTCAGATTCCAGCTGCCTCTGACTACTAGTTTTCCCTCATGAAGAATCTGGTCAAATTAAATATTTGTTTCTCAGGAGGGGACAGAGGGAAGCAAGCACAAGTGTAAACATGTTCATTTTTTCTGCTACACTGAGCCTTATTTAATTATGTGAAAATTGACAGTTGTCACAATTCGGAGTAATAGTTTTCAATGTATAACTCACATGAAAGAAAAGTGTAAACTTCCTATGGTGGTGACTGCAAGGTCGCACGGAAAGGATGCTGTTAGTCATGCAGCCTCTCCAAGCACGAGAAGTAATTCACACAAGTTTTGACCCAGAGCTGCTGGCAGAGGGGCAGGTGGCAATGTGTGTGGGGGACTGACGTGGCAGGGAGCTGGAATATTGCCAGGCTGCCTGAGGAGCTGTGCTACGTGTGCTCCTGATGTCCCAAAATTAAATAGAAGCAATGGAACTTTAGTCCTGCTCCCATCTCCACTATTCCCTACGCCTCCAATGCATTCAGCAGAAATATGACTGGCTTTCTGTAAGCTCATTTCTACAATTTTGCTCTTAGCATTACTAGGCAGTAATCATAAATATTCAGAGGAATTTTAAATATTACCGAATATTGCTGTAGGTTATGTGTTTATGTGCTCTTTTCTGCTCTTTTTGCAATAAAGAATGAGTTGCTTTGACTCTGGTGAGAAGAATTTAGGTCTGGTTCAGAGTTTCACTGCATATAATTAATGTTCCCAAGAGCTTTGCTTCAAGGTACTGTCCCAATCTTCTCCTCTGTACTGGAATAGCAGATGAGGAAAAAGATGTGAGCATGTTAGATTTAGGATACCTGTAAAGCTTCACATGCCACAGCTGTGAAAAAATATGCCTTTTACTAGGTAGTACAGTGTTTGTGTACACACAAACGCAGATGAAGTGTTTTGCAGCTGGAAAAGGCAAAATACCAGTTTTGCTGTGGAAAGTACTTGAAAGACTTTCTCTACACTACTGTTCTGGACAGCCATATCAAAATGTTGAATTCAGAACACGGGAAATGCAGAGAGGGCATTCCCAAAAGAACAAGCAGGAGAAGTCTGTTCTGCGAGAGGCAGTTTAACAGTTTAGTTCATTTAGCTCAATAAAAGCAGGCTGAGAGGAGATATGATTACTCTTGGAAAACATATCTGCAAAGTAAATATGATAGAGGAAGAAGGCAGAGCACAAAACCAGTTGTTTGTAAACTGACCATAAGTAAATAAGAAGCAGATTTTTAGCAAGCAGAGAAGTTAGATTGTGGAACAACCTCATGGTAGTGTCAGAGACAGACACATGTTGAGATGACTTAAGAAATTCTGACGGTCCAGCACCGTGTGAGCACTGACTCATCCCATTTGTTTCAGTCTCAGCTTGCTGTAAAACAGTGCTTACTCCATGGTTTCAACTGAGTTTTAACCACAGCAAAATTTTTATCCAGTGGCTTGTGTTCTCAGTTTTGAAGTTCTTTAATTCTAAATCTCTTTGAAGTGAATAGGAGAAAAATGTCTCACTTTGAAGGGCAAGTATTGGATAAGAAGTGCATGTCCCATCTTTTAGAAACACAAAAACTTCATGTAGTTGAAACTTAAAAATTTGGCCCTAGAGAATCTGGAATTTTGAAAGATAACAAGGGAGAGTGTTCATATTTGAATTTTCTAGCTTAGGCTTATAGCCAGGTTTTAAACCTGTGAAAACAAATGAAGGTAACAGAGTATGTGACAAAGCTGCAGTGGTTACAGTACCATGATTCTATAGAAAATGTGCTCCATTATGTTAATGAAAAAGAACCATGTATTTTTCCTTGCAATGTAGATGTTTTCCATTACCTTATTTTCTCAGTAATCAAGATATGCACACGGTGTAAGCTCTGAGTGAAATGCATGATTAGAGACCATTTAAGATATATATTTTACTTCAGAGAAAAACACGGAAAGATAATTAACAATATACCAAGTTCAATATTGTGTCTAAGAAATGTGTTATTTTTAATGAGACTATTATACTACTAGAGACACTCTTTAGTTTCATTAGTGAAAAAACTTCTGAGTGTTAATACTGAAAGCAGAGCAATAAAAATATGAGTCACAAAGTAAAGAAAAACTAAGGGCTGTAACAAATGACAAAACCATCTGATGTCACCACCTAGTCTGCTGAGGTATCAAATACGCTATCACAACTACATGAAGAAATACTTCAAAGTTTGCAAAATCATCATTTAAAAATTGTAAAATGCCAAAATTTAAGATTGTCTATGTAGCTATACTTGTATTCTTCATGCATACACATTTCACAATCTCTCAGCACTTTTTCCACAAGATCTTTGCCTCTTTAAGTGCCAAGGATGAACAGTTCTCACAAAAAGCCGTTCAGCACCTTCTGATACACTTTTTATGCTGTGTGAGTTACCAGTCTTATTTGTTTCTCACTGTTCAAACTGTGTCAGAAGAGAAATAGTTCCCACATAGACTTTTCTGTCTCATTTATCACTACTGTCTCTGAAGGCTTCACAATGACTAATTAATTTAACTTCACAAACTCTTGCGAGATAAGGGCTGGCATTTAATTGAGACGTAGACAGATGAAGGTCAAAAGTATCCCCTAACTTGGAGATGCACTACTGAGATGCTCTGAACATGGCGTTTAGAGCAATAAAGCTCTTTATGTTCAAATTACAAACCGCTATTCATTTCAGTTGCAATAATGTCCTGGTTTTGGCTGGGACAGAGTTAGCTCTTCTTTTTAGCAGCTAGAAGAGCTCCGTGTTTTGGTTTTAGTCTGGGATTCTTTATGAGAAGAATGGTGACAGTGCACTGATGTTTATAGTTGGTACTGAGACCTCAAGGACTTTTCAGCTTGTCGTGTTCTTGCCAGTGTGCAGTAGTGCAACAGGCTGGGGGAGCATAGCTGGGACAAAGGGCCCACAATTTCCCATACGATTTGGGCTTAGATTTAGGATTGAGGGCTAAATTGGCCAATGAAGTATTCCATATTACGCAATGTCATGCCCAGTATATAGATGAGGGCTGACAGGAAAGAAGGGTTTTTGCTCTTTCGGGGACTCTTAGGGGACTGGACTAGATGATCCTTTGAGGTCCCTTCCAATCCCTAACACTCTGTGATTCTGTGACTCTGTTCTGAGGGCTCTCTCTTGGACTCTTGGAATGCTCTCTCTCTCTCATTCTCTTTTTGGGCCTCTCACTCATCTGGGATTGTGGTGTTGGAACTTACCTGTTTTGGGATTATTTTGCCGGAACAGGAGAGAGAGTGGTCACCGAATGGTGAGCAATTACACTGTTCATCACTTGTTTGTATATATTATTATCATTATATATATTTTTAATATACTATTGTTCTTATTAAATTATACTTATCTTAACCCATGAGTATCCTTCCCTTTTCTTCTTTAATTCTCTTCCCCATTCCCTGGGGGTGGGGGAGAGTGAATGAGTGGCTGTGTGGCATTTAGTTGCCGGCTGGGCTAAACCATGAAAAATACATAGTGGTCAACATTTCTGTCAGTCAGAACCTAAGCTCAGGACAGACACCTAGAAGATAAGAAATTAATTACTATGAAAAATTTGGTTTAAGTGCCTCGCTTAATGAGAGAAGGACAGGAAACCTTTGACAGATGCAGAGCTATAATGTGATTTTCTGAGGCAGCATTTAATATTCGGGACGTGCTTTCTGATCCAGCAACCCCCCTGCCTCATTTTCAAAGATCACTGCCTCCAAGTTCAAGAAAGGTCCATTTCTGTGAGCAGGAAATCAAGCAAAGGCCTCCTCCTCAAGAAGGAGGACCCAGGGAACTACAGGCTGGTTGGCGTCACCACAATCTGTGGGAAGGTAATGGAGCAAGTCTTCCTGGAAACCACTTCCAAGGCTTGCCCTGTCTCTCAAAAACTGTCTTCCTCAGTTTTTGCTTCCTTATCCAGTTCCTTTCTGTCTCAAGTGAGCTTTCCAGTTTAAACTCATCACTGTCATTCACTTTAATGCAGACCTCACTGGTCGGTATAATACCTTCCTCCATCCTCCTTCTGTGACCTATCTCTTCCCTTGTCTCCCAAATTAGTTTCCTTCCCTTGAGTTCCCACTTTTTTTCCATCCCCACTGCCTCTTCCTATGCCTTTCTTCCACCTATTTGCTGAACTTGACTAAATGTTTTTTAAAGGCTGAACTGCTCTGTCTGAAAATTTTTCTAGCTAAAAATAAGTAGCCTGAATCAGAGAGCACAGAAAATACAACTCATATGATTGGAGTTTCTCAGTGCTTGCAGCAGAAAACATGCTTGTACAAAGCAGTGTTCAGCAACCATAGTGAGGGATACACCTGCTAACATGCCAATGGTATATGTCTTTTAAAATGTCCAGGATTCCTTCATGCTGTCCCAAACAGCTGATGTCCATTATGGCACAAAATAGCATGTATACTAACCATCCCTTAAAGCATCTGATAAAAAAGAAGGAATTTTTCCAGGAAATACATGAAAATACTTAATGAATGTGTTTAGTATTCAAAGACTTAAACTACAATACGCATCATTAAGCTTCTCTAATTCTAATGACCAGGATGCTGAAAACCAAAATGTGCAAACAAATAGTGCCCCAAAATTAACAACATGGAGTGACATTTTGGCTGCAGAAACACACACAAATCCCACTGATGTCATTGTATAGTTCCTAGAG